ATTGCTTCCTGTAAGTATCAATGAGTTTCTTACACCTCTCTACTGGAATTTTGGACCACTCTCTTCTTTTGGCCAGCTTCTCCAGGTCTCTCATTGCAAGCATTCCTTTTCCCCACTGCTGTTTTGAGATCTCTCCACATGTGTGCTATGGGATTGAGATCTGGACTCTCTGCTGGCCAGTTCAGTAATCACCAGCTCTTTGTCTGAAACCATTTCTGGGTTCTGACGGCAGCAAAACTTTCTGACGCTGGGCCCTATGTTGCACCCCAGAATTCTTTGGTAGTCTTCGGATTTCCTAATGCCATGCACACAGTCAAGACATACAGTGCCTGAAGCCGCAAAGTAACTCCAAAACATCAGTGAACCTCCACCATGTTTGACTGTAGGGACTGTATTCCTTTCTTTAAAGGCCTCATTGCTTTTTCTGAAAACGGTAGAATGATGGAGTTTACCAAAAAAAATACTGTAATTTTGTTTAGTCTGTCCACAGCACATTCTCTCAAAAGGATTTTGGCTTCCTCAGGTAAGTTTTGGCAAACTCCAATCTGGCTTTTTTAGGTTTCTGTGTCAACAGCAGGGTCCTTCTGGGTCTCTTACCATAGCGCCCCTTTTCACTCAGATTGCAATGTATAGTGTAAGCTGACACAGTTGTACCCTGTGCCTGAAGGTCATCTTGAATTTATCTGGAAGTTGATTGAGGTTCTTCATCCACCATTCTGACAATTCTTAGTTGCAATCTTTGATCAAGTTTTTCCTCTTTCATCCATGTCCAGGGAGATTAGATACAGTGCCATGGGCTTTGAACTTCTTGACAATGTTGCACACAGTGGACACAGGAACATTAAGATCTCTGGAGATGGACTTGTAACCTTGAGATTGTCCATGCTTTTCCACAATTTTAGTTCTTAAATCCTCAGACAATTCTTTGCTGCTTTTTCTTTTCTCCATGCTCCATGTGGCACACTGTTTCATATTTGCCTTGAAGCAAACATTGCAATATGGGTACAGCCTTGAACAGCTGCGTTTCTACATTTAGGTGGGTGGTCGGGAGCAATAAAACCACAGCTCAACTACCTGCTTTTACCAGCCCCCCCCCCCCCTGTGAATAAGCCCTAAATTATGCTTTCCTGGTAACCGTTTAATACCTGCTTCCCTGAATCTTTGCTTTCTAGATATATGCGTGTTTTAAGAGCTTTTTGGCAAATAGCATGCAAATGATCTATAAAGTGTTTCCACGGTTTATCCTAAATGAGCACATTTATGGATTATTCAATGGCCTCACTTGCTTTCAGTCTGAGAACATAGGATCACAGTGTCCTTATGAAAACACTGGAAATAGATTTTTCCTTTTATCAAAATGGACTTAATTAGCTGTAAGTGAAGGACTGAATTTGAATACTAAAGCTGGCCATACACTAATATAGTGGGTATAGAAAAGAATCACCCCTTTTAAAACAATCCCATTTTTTTTTTATTTGAAGCCTGAAATGAAGACAAAGTTTTTGTTTCATCTAGCACCAACATGTAAGAAAAAAATAACAAAAAAATCAAAAACCAGAATCACTGAGTTAGAAACCTTTTGCTTTATTTACAGCCTTTAGTCTGTTGGGATATGTCTCTAATAGCTTTGCACATCCAGACTTTGCAATATTTGCCCACTCTTCTTTGCAGATCTGCTCAGGTTCAGATAAATTTGATGGTAACCATTTGAGGACTGCAGTCTTCAAGCCATTCTACAGATTTTCAATGGGTTTTAAGTCCGGGCTCTGACTAGGCCATGGAATGACCTATATTGTGGTCATTTTTGCTGTGTGCTTTGGGTCATTGTCATGTTGGAAGGTAAACCTTCTTCCCATTGACAACTTTCTGGCAGAGGGCAGCAGATGTTCCTCAAGAATTTTATGGTATTTTGCCCCATCCATTTTTCCTTCCATCCTCACAAGTGCTCCAGTCCCTGCTGCAGAGAAACGCACCCATAACAGGATATTACAGTTGTGCTCAAAAGTTTGCATACCTTGGAAGAAATTATTAAATTTTGACATTGATATTGAAAATATGACTGATCATGCCAAAAAATTATCTTTTATTAAAGGATGATGATCATATGAAGCCATTTGTTATCAAATAGTTGTTTGGCTCCTTTTTAAATCATAATGATAACAGAAATCGCCCAAATGGCTATGATCAAAAGTTTACATACCCTGGAATGTTTGGCCTTGGTACAGACACACAAGGTGACACACACGGGTTAAAATGCCAATTAGAGGTTAATGTCCCACATCTGTGGCTTTTTAAATTGCAATTAGTGTCAGTGTATAAATAGTCAATGAGTTTGTTAGCTCTTACGTGGACACACTGACTAGGCTAGATACTGAGCCATGGGGATCAGAAAAGAACTGTCAAATGTCCTGTGTAACAAAGTAATAAAGATGGAAAAGGACATAAAAAGAGGGATGTTGGGTGGAAGGTGTTTCAGTGTAGGTCCAGCTTAATCCTGGTCAACTTGTAGCTCAAACAGCAAACATTCATTGCTTGTATTGGTTATTTTTTTTCTCTTTACAGGGTCATTTCCCCTACTTTAACATTAAGGCACATTTAAAGCCCCTACTGCTTCAACCTGCTTTTTGTTATGTGTTTTTGATGCTTCGATGCTGCTTTTTTGAGGTTTTGTTGAAGTTTGGCAAATGCGCTGTTTTGATTTTCTATTTGTTTGAAAGGGGCCCAGTAGAACCCCCACTAAGTAGTACTCCCTGGCAGCAGGTCCCCAGCTCATTAGTACCCCTGTTCAGCAGATCCCTAGTTCATTGGTACCCTCACTCAGCAAATCCCCTGCTCAGTAGTACCCCTAGCTCTATTGATGCCCCACTTAGTAGTACGCCCAGCTGTGCTGATCCCCTGCTCGGTAGCAACCCCCCAACTCTGATGATCCTCTAGTTTGCTGATTCTTCTCTGTCCAGGCACCACCTACCTCCCACTATATTGCTCCCACACTGCGTAGCTCGTGTGACATTACTGGTTTCACCTGCTCCGGACCCCGGCTCTTCTGGTCATCTGCCTCTCAGTCCTCTCTCTCTGGTCCCCATACACCTTTCGCTATAGCATTCCCACATTGCGTACCACATGTGCCGTTTTCTAGTTGCTCCGTTTTGGACCCCGCTCATCTTCCTGCTGCTCCACACTGCACAGCAGATGTGACAACTGCTTCAAACACCTCCAGAATATATACACATGAACCAGAAGTAACTGCTGATGACAGTTTTCTGGTTTGCTTGTTGGATTTCAGCACACCCTGGGATATCTCATACCTGCAATACCTCCAAAACAAAGCAAAACTAAGACTGAAAAAAGCCGCTCAGAAGCTGCCGGTGCTGTTGGCGAGCTTTGTCATAGACTTTTATGGAGGCTTTGCAGACCATTTAAAGCACCGAGAAAACGATATGGGGTATAACTTTTTGAAGCAAAGCAAACGCAACATGTAAACAAGTCTGTAAGCGTATGATTTCATTTAATGACAGGTGTTTTGATTGGCATTTAGAGCGCTTTAAAAAAGTAAATCCAATGCCACATTTTGAAGCAAGTGGTGTAAACAAGCCCTAATGGCTCTTTTTATGACAAATAATGTATGTTGTACAATAAGTCCGTAAACCAACGACCGCTGTTTTATTGTGTGTACCAGCTGTCAAACACTTAGAGGCAGCAGCAAAGGTGTGGAGGAAAATGTATTCATCCATGGAGCTGCTGAGATTGTTCTTTGCTTTAAATATTTGAAAATGCGCATCTCTGGTAACCCCACCTGGGGCATCAATATAGCCAGCAAAGTGTAGTTGGTCTATCAGCACCTTTACTTTGAGGAGACAAGTGTGCTGTCCTTGGTCCTCATTTCATTTTATATGTGTGTGCGGTGAAGAGTGTCCCCACTTCTTGTAATACTGTTTGGTACAGTAATTGCTCTGCTGTGGATAAACAGGCACTGTTTCTCCCCTTCCCTTCAGGTCGAAGGCTATGCAGCACCAGCCTGGTGGAGCTAGAACCATCAGGCTGAAGAATGCTTTTTTCCTGATTCTTTGAGATTGACAAATTACCCTGAATTATTGCTGTTCTATATTATATATTTCTTTTCTCAGAATTTCTGCAATTTAAAATGATTCTAAGCATAAATTGTTTTTTTTTTCTTTTAAATAACAAACATGTCATAAGTACCTGCTCTGTTATAGTTTTGCACACAGCAGCCCTGATCCTCCTATTCTCAGGTCCTCCCGTCGGCGCTCCTGGCTACTCCCTCCCCCCCTCTGAGCTTGCTATATGGACATTCATGCGGGCTCGCTCCGGAGCCTCGCTGCCTGCGTCTGTTGCCACAGCCCTGCTCCCTTGTCTCTAACTGTGATTGACAACAGCAGGAGCCAATGGCTCCCACTGCTGTGTTTGAGTCGGTGAGGAGGGAGAGAGCAAAGAAAGACGCTGCATTGCTGGATTGAGGTCAGGATCAGGTAAGTATAAGGGGGGCTGGGGGAGATGCATGCAGAAGAGAATGCATTAAAGTAAAAAAAAAAACTGACTTTTTAGAACTACTTCAAGGCTGATAATACTGCACTTTATGATTAGTAATAGTTTCAATATTAGTTTATGTATTCATATTTCTGTATTTTTCTTTACATTTTTTTTTGATTTTATCATTGTTAACCTGGACCTGAGTACCTTATTTTATTTCTGTCATGTATAACATGTTTTTGGAATGACAATAAAAAATATCCTTTTCCTTAGTACAGTGGTAATCAATCAGAAATCAACTTTTAGCTATTATTTTATTCTAAATTGTTGTAAACTAAATTGTACTTGATTGCAATACGTTTTCTCAGTACTATAGGTCATAAATGTTATAATATAGACTAAAATGTCAAGGTTTTAACTTTGATCCCATGCTTTGTATATGTGGTTTGTATATGCTGTCAGGAATAACTGGTTTTGTTGCCACTGTGATCATTTTCTGTTTTTTTTTCCAGTGTTAAAAATTCAAACTATTGTCTGCCTTCATATGCTGCTTACAAAAACTATGATTACTCAGAGCCAGGAAGACATAATGAGCAACCGGGACTATGTGGCTTAAGTAACCTGGGAAACACTTGTTTTATGAATTCTGCCATTCAGGTAAAAACAGGAGTTTAATCTTTCATGATCTTATATATACATGTGCATACAGTTACAATCTAGTGCTATACCAGTTTCACACTGCTTCATTACAGTGAAGGTTTGTAATTCTCATAATTACAATTCATACAAATGTGTAAGTTGTTTTCATGGACATACTGAGGTTTTCAGAATTTTTTTAATTGTATCCTTTTTTTTTTTTTTTTTTTTTTTTTTTTTAGTGTTTGAGCAATACACCGCCACTAACTGAATACTTCCTTAATGATAAGTATCAAGAAGAACTGAACCTGGATAACCCTTTAGGAATGAGAGGAGAAATAGCCAAGTCCTATGCCGAGCTCATCAAACAAATGTGGTCAGGGAAATACAGCTATGTAACTCCAAGAGCATTTAAGGTTAGAAATGCTTTTATTTACTAAACTGCCTTTTATTTTGTAAACCTCTATCTGATCTTATCTTTGTGAATAGTATGCAATGCTTTTATACAGGGTGCTTTAAATCTGGAGATATCCAGATAAAAGGACATTGCAGAATTTGAAAAATGTCAAAGGCTGGAAATACAGTGGGGAAAATAATTATTTGATCCCCTGCAGATTCTGTAAGTTTGAAAAGAAATTAAGGGTCTATAATTTTTATCATAGGTGTATTTTAAATGATAGAGACAGAATATCAACCAAAAATCCAGAAAAAACACATGATACAAATGTTATAAATTGAGTTGCAGTTCAGTGAGCAAAATAAGTATTTGATCCCTAAGCAAAACATGACTTGGTACTTGGTGGCAAGCACAGAGGTAAGACTTTTCTTGTTAGTTGGTTATCCGGTTTGCACACATCTCAGGAGGGATTTTGATCCACTCTTCTTTACAGATCTTCTCTAAATCCTTATAGCAGAATTCCACTCAAAAGTGGAAGCTCCGCTTATTTGCCTCCTCCCCCCTCCACTGCTCTATTTGGCACCTTTTGGGGGAGGGGGGAGCGGGTACCTTGTTTTGACAGGTACCCACTCCCACTTCCGCTCAGTTTGCTGCGGTGAAGTGTGCCGGAAGTCGGCCCCCTCTTCCCTCCTGAAGTCTCTTGGGAACTTTCACAGGTCCCAGGAGAATGCTAGACCAATTAGGAAGCGCAGCTCGACTCGCGCATGAGCAGTGGGCACCAGGCTGTGAAGCTGCAAGCTGTCACAGCCTGGTGCCCACAGTTGAGATGCCAGCGCCGTGGAGGAAAGAAGGGCAGAAGGGACCGCGTGGGTGAGAACATCGCTGGACTCTGAGACAGGTAAGTGTGTGTTTTTGTAGCTGCTGACTTTTAATAAATACAAAAACGGCTGGAACTTCACTTTAAGTGTTCCTGGTTGTTTCTTGGGAACTCAACGTTTCAGCTCCCTCTATAAATTTTATGTAGGATTAAGATCTGGTGATTGGCTAGGCCACTCCATTGGCTCCTCAATGCAGCAAAGTCGACCTGTACCTTTAGCAGAGAAAAAACCCCAAAGTAGAATGTTTCCACCTCCATGCTTGACTGTAGGGATGGTGTTCTTAGGGTTATAATCGGCATTTTTTTCCTCCAAACACGGCGAGTCGAGTTAATGCCAAAGAGCTCAATTTTGGTCTCATCTGACCACAACACTTTCACCCAATCCTTCTCTGAATCATTTAGATGTTCATTGGCAAACTTCAGACTGGCCTGTATGTGTGCCTTCTTGAGGAGTAGGATGTTGCGGGCGCTGCTGGATTTCAATCCATGGCGGTGTTTTGTGTTACCAATGGTTTGTTTGGTGACTGTAGTCCCAACTGCCTTGAGATCATTCACAAGCTCCACTTGTGTAGTTCTGGACTTTTCCCTCACTTTTCTCATGATCATCTCTACCCCAGGAGATGAAATCTTGCATAGAGCTCCAGACCGAGGGCGATTGATTATTTTTTATTTCTTGCATTTGCGAATAATCACTGCAGCAGTTGTCTCTTCACTAAGATTCTTGCTGATGGTCTTGTAGCTCATTCCAGCCTTGTGCAGGTCTACAGTCTTGTCCCTGATGTTCTTTGACAGCTCTTTGGTCTTGCCCATGGTAGTGAGGTTTGAATGGAAGAAAGAGATTCTGTAGACAGGTGTCTTTTATACACATAACGAGTTGTCGTTAGGAGCACCTTCTTAAGTTGACAGGACAAATCTGTGTGCACATGAGCACATAGCCAGTCTGTAGGAGCCAGAATTATTGTTGTTTGGTAGGGGGTCAAATACTTATTTTACTCACTGAACTTCAACTCTGTTTATAATATTTGTATCGTGTCAGGATTTTTGGATGATACTCTGTCATTTAAAATACACCTGTGAAAAAAATTATAGACCCTTCATTTCTTTGTAAGTGGGCAAACTTACAAAATCTGCAGGGGATCACATAATTTTTCCCACTGTAGTAGGTTAACTGAGGATATGGAGAGGTGAGGCATCTTGTAAATGATTGAACCTTTCAAGAATGACTGCACTTTATTTTAAGCTGGCCATATGTAGGTCAGTTTTTTTTTTTCGGTTAACCAGTGGGTTGAATGAAAAAAAACAGACCCAATTCAGCACTTCAGCACTTAGCCTGCAATGCTGATCCAGTGGCTACATTCTGATGGGGCCGTTGCACAGAAGTTAGTAAATCGACTTCTGCTCAACCACCGGTACCGAGGACTATGGAAGCAGTCGGGCGGCAGCGCAGCAGCCCTTTTGCTTCCTCCTAACAGACAGGAGTCTGCCTGTTATTTGCAGACACATTCTCTGTGGCTGCAGCCATTGGATTGTGTATAAAACCCCCAGCTGTGAGGTTTGTAATGACGTACAAACCTGGCGACAACAAGGTTAAAGCTGGGGTAGGAGTTTATGTACAAGAGCCCTTGAAAACAGCTCCATTTCCAGTAATTACTTTAACAGTTTGCTACAGTAATAATTGACAGATACAATGTAGCTGTTTGGATTATGTTGTAATTGTTTGCAGCTATTAGAGTTCATTCACACTTGGCTTAAAAATGCGGCTTTTACCGGCATTTTACTTTTTTTTTTTTTTTTTTGCCTGAAAAAACATCTTTGTTACACTGTGTTCATGCACACAAAGACGTTTAGAAGCGGAATGTTTACAGGCTGAAAAAAAATCATCACCAGCGCACTTAAGATAGCTTTTGGACAGAAAAGAATGCTTGACGAGCGTAAATGCACCTAAACTCTAGACACAGTTAGCATTTAAGCTTTCATTCCAAAGTCCAAAATAAATTAATATGCTGGGCAATGGAATCCATTAACACTTCTTTTTTTTTTTTTGCAGCTTTTCTCCTGCCAGGAGAAAAGGCAATCAGGAGAGCAAAGCAAACACTCAGAGTCCTCAAGGCATTAACATCAACTACATATATGCAAAAAGCAAAGCAGAAAAATAAACATTTATTTCATCTGTATATAACTTCACCATGTTTTGTACCAGGCACATAATTTTAGTATTAAAATCTCTATGAATTACAGGAAAAAATGGTATACTTCATATTTACCGTGGTACAGTGGTTGTTTAAAAATTATCACTCAGTATAGAAACAATTTAGTACTGACGTGATACTTTTTTTATTTGCACTAACATACAATTTTGAGGACAAGCTTTCGGGGTATGTCCCCTTCTGCAAGGTCCAGGCAGTACTGCCTGGACCTTGAAGAAGGGGACATACCCCGAAAGCTTGTCCTCAAAATTGTATGTTAGTGCAAATAAAAAAAGTATCACGTCAGTACTAAATTGTTTCTGTCGCAAGTGCACTAATACAGCTACAATCACCGCACTCAATATAGAAAATTCTGGATAGAAGATAACCTATAATCTGAGGCAGGAGGAGCAAAATACCACAAGAGAGGAGGGCAAAGTGTAGCCCCAATTTACACTAGAACGCAATGTGGGAAACCCACGATCCGTGTACGTTTCCTTCACCACTCTCACTGCATTGCCCTTGTGATCTGCCACAGGTGTCAGTGCAATATTAACGACTTCCTGTCCCATAGTCAAAACAGGAAGTGAGAGGGAAGCCCTGGTTGTCATCTGAAATAGTGTCACCATTGTAACATTTCACCCTATTACTCTTTTGGGAACAACACACAATTTGGGATTTCATTTACTTTCAGTGATAATTGTAAACAGGACAAATAGAGAGGGTGACAGACTGCAATTAAAGAAAAAAAATCTGACAGGTGTTCTAATCCCTCTCCGCTCTATTCAAAACTAAAGAAAAGTTTATCAGTTATACCTACAGTATTTGTTACAATGTGCACTACAAGCTTTGCAGTGAGTCAGAACCTTCCTCATTTCCAGATTGGAGGATGTACAGTATCATCTAGCATTTGTATCCCTAGCCTGACTGTCCCTGGCTTACTTCCTTTTTTGATTCATTAAATTTCATTTCATGTTGTCCGAGCATCAAATTTTGGCATTTCCTATGGTGGTCTGCATCAAAAAGCAGTCTGCCTAGGAACACCCACTCCTTCAGACTGACATTCACCCATCAAGGGTTATACTTGCATAACTCCTCCCAAGAGCCAACCCACCACTAGGAACTGTTGAGTATAGTACTCTGGCAGGGTGCTGCGATGTTTTCAGGAGGCTGTGTACGGCATAATGCCAGTCCCTCCCATTTGCCTTGATCTGCCTGCATTGTATCCATCTGTACTATCTCAATGCCATGTATGACTGCTAGCTGACACTGCTGTGCTATATGGTAAATGTCTGTGAGCAATATCCATCTGTACTATCTCCTATGCCATGTATGACTGCTAATTGACGCTGCTGTGCTATATGGTAATCTATACTGTTTTCAAAATCCACCTCTAACTGAAGCTGATTCATTACAGTTAATGTTTTTATTGGTAATTTTTGCTTCTTCCAAAATCTTTAGCTCTGTCCATATTACTGTGATGTTTATTTTGCTCTTATTTTCTAACCCAAATTTATGAGCTGATCCTAATCTTTACAACTCTGCCCTTCTGCTCTCTTGTTGTCTGTTGTAGTCCTCCTTTGGTGTGAAAAGTTTGCCCTGCTAGCCATGTGTCTCTCCTATGCATTCCTAATTGATTAATTGACAACTCAGTATAAATTTAGGCCTTCCTTAGGGGAGGCACAGCCAGGGGTAGCATTGGCAACTATTATCATGGATAAAGTATTAATCTTGGATCAAGTATTGAGCATTGCACTTCGGCTCTGCACTGCAGCAAAAGCACAAAGCGAAAAGCTGCAGCAGACAACTCCAAATACTAAACAGACTACAGGTGACCTGTTTTCCCATCCAGCTTTTTCATCTCTTACCCAGTCTGCTTCTACATCTCACCACTCTGTAACATGCACTCCCTACTCCTCCTTCTCACGGTTGTATCCTCTCTCTTCAAACTCTTTCTTGCACCCCACTTCTCCACCCCACAACTTATATATATAAACCCACACTCCTGTCTTCACCTTATTACTACACTCTTCAACTCCTGCTAATTCTGAACCCACATACTAATAAAACCTCCAGGACACTGGGACCTGTCCCTCCATATAAATCATACTCCCATATTACCTCTCTCACCCTTCTGCTTCTCCTAACATCTGGAGACATTTTCCCAGATGCTGGGCTGCCATATTTTTCTTTGACCTTTTGGAATGCCTGCTCTGTCTGTAATAAACTCACCTCTGTCCATGACCTTTTTATCACAAACTCCTTTAACCTACGTGCAATTATGGAAACCTGGCTTCACGAATCTGACTTTCCCTCGTCTGCCGCCCTCTCCCATGGTGGTCTGCTCTGGACTCACTCTCCCAGACTTAGTGAACAGAAAGCAGGTGGAGTTGGAATCCTCCTATCCCCTCAAAGCACTTTTCATGTCCTCCATTCACCTCCCTCTCTGTCCCTCTCCTCATTTGAAGTTCACTGTATTCATCTATTCGCTCAGGTTTCTTTAAGTATTGCTGTGATCTATCGGCCTCCTGGACCAGTATCAAGCTTCCTTGATGACTTCTCTGCCTGGCTACCTTACTTTCTCTCTTCTGACATTCCAACAATAATTTTTGGTGACTTCAATATCCCTGTTAATCTTAACACTCCTGCTACTTCTAAACTTCTGAGCCTAACAACTTCTCTTTACCTAAAACAATGGACACATGCTTCTACTCACTCTAATGGTAACTGCCTCGACCTTGTATTCTCCTACCTATGCACTCCTTGCAACCTCACCAACTTTCCTTTTCCTCTCTCTGATCACTCCCTTATTAGCTTTACTCTCTCCTCTTTGTCTTCCAACTACCGAACAGTTACCCAGAGAAACCTTTGCTGTCTTAACCCTTCTATTCTTTTTTCTGCAACAGATTGCATCTATGACAAAATCTCAGCCCTGTCCTGCCTCAACCTAGCCACTTCTGTCTATAACAGTTCACCTGCACAATCAATATTTCCCTTGTTTAACCCAGCTACTATAGTGGAAGTTAGTAAACTTTTTTCTAAAGCCCACTTAACCACCTGTCCCCTGGACCCCATTCCCTCACAAACACTACAGTCACCTTCTGGCTCTCTGCATCACTGTCACAAGTTAGCTTGCAATTTCTTGTTTGTGTATTCTTACCTCCTTGCTGTAGTGCTGTTCCTGATTCCTTTCATATGTGTGGTTTATCTGTTCTCACCTATGGGCATCGTCTGCCATTCTCTGGGTTTTATTTTCTTCCCTTCCATCACTTCCTGGCCCGCTTCCTAGTTTGCTTGTCTATATAAGACATGCTCAGTCTAGCCCACTTTGCCTGAGCAACTTCTTAGTTCTCTGAGCTCCTGTCTGTTGCTACTCTTGTATCCTGTATCTGACTACCCGTGTACCAACACTGGCTTTGTCTACTGACTGTGCTTGATTTCCACCTGTCCTGACCTCAGCTTGTCTATCGGTTTCCCTGTTGTCTCCTGCCATTACACTCTGCTCACGTGAGTGGTCTCCGCATCAGCAGCTGGGCGTACCTGGGGGACGTGATCTGGTTCTAGCTTGCTGCAAGTCCTTCCCCACCATCAAGGGCTCTGGTGAAGAAGCAAGCTGGGGCTTAGACTCCGCGCCCTGGGGAACCCTGAGTTGGCGGTCTACAAGGGCTCACTACCACAGGTTCATGACACACTCTAACTCATGTCTTCAATCTCTTTCTTTCTGCTGGCATCTTCCCCAACTCTCTAAAACATGCGCTAGTCATCCCCATACTTAAAAAGGCCTCACTGGACCCCACCAATCCTAATCTCCTTACTCCCTTTTGCCTCCAAACTCCTTGAACGTCTAGTCTAAAACCAGCTGAGCTGCCACCTCGTTGAGAATAAACTTCTTGATTCCCTTCAGTCTGGGTTTTGCCCACAACACTCCACAGAAACTGCTGTCCTAAAACTCACAAACGACTTGCTAACCGCTAAAACCAATGGTCTCTATTCCGTACTCTTACTCTTGGACCTCTCCGCTGCCTTTGACACAGTTGACCACCCCCTCCTCCTCAAAAAGCTCTTATTTATTTGGCCTCCGTGACTGTACTCTCTGTTGGTTCGAATCTTACGTATCTCATCGCACCTTTAGTGTCAGTTACAACTCTACTTCCTCCTCTCCTACCCCTCTTACTGTCGGGGTCCCCCAAGGTTCTGTCCTTGGACCTCTCCTATTCTTGATCTACACTTCTTTCTTGGGTCAACTGATAGCTTCCCATGGTTTCCAATACCATTTCTATGCTGATGACACACAAATCTATCTCTCTACTCCTCAGCTCACCCCATCGGTTTCCTCACGTATCACCGATTTACTAACAGACACATCAGACTGGATGTCACACCACATCCTGGAACTCGGTCTAGCCAAAATTGAGCTCATAATATTTCCTCCCCCACATGCCTCTTCCCCTGATTTCTCGGTCAAGATCAATAGCACAACTATCAACCCATCCCCGCATGCCAGGATGCTAGGGGGTAACCCTGGATTCTGAAATATCCTTTCAGGCCCACATCCAATCCCTGTCCAAATCATGCCACCTCAACCTTCGCAACATCTCCAGAATACACTCCTTTTTAACCAATGATACCTTTTAAAGCTTCTAATTCACTCCCTGGTTATCTCTCGCCTCGACAACTGCACCTCCCTCCTCATTGGCTTACCTTTACATAGGCTATCCCTCCTCCAGTCCATTATGAATGCTGCTGCCAGGCTCATCCACCTTACCAACCATTCAGTGTCTTTTACCCCTCTTTGCCAATCCCTGCACTGGCTTCTATGCACCCAATGAATAAAATTCAAAATAATAACTTACAAAGCAATCCACAACTCTGCCCCCAGCTACGTCACCAACCTGGTCTCAAAATATCAACCAAACTGCCCTCTTCCTTCCTCCCAAGACCTTCTGCTCTCTTGTTCCCATGTAACCTCTTCCCATGCTTGCCTCCAGGACTTCTTCCGAGCTTCTCCCATCCTATGAAACTCCCTACCCCAGTCTGTCAGACTATCTCCTAATCTATCCACCTCTAGACGATCCCTGAAAACCCTACTCTTTAAAGAAGCCTAACCGGCTTCTAACTAGTAAACTGTTTTTTATTTTCCTTCATCAGCCCATCCCCCACAGCTATTAACTTTTGTATCGCTGAACCCTTCCTCTTAGATTGTAAGCTCTAATGAGCATGGCCTTCTGTTTCCTTTTTTACCAAATTGTATTTTAACTGTAATGTCTACCTTCATTTTGTAAAGCGCTGCACAAACTGTTGGCACTAAATAAATCCTGTATTATAATAATAATAATTGCATCAAGAAGTGCAGAGGCTTGGTAATGACATCATTGGGTCTAAAATATTTTGTATAAAAAAGGAAAAGGTTTTGTTTAAAGATATCGTTAGCATTTTGATGGGCAGAGAGAAGAACCAGGGAGGGCAAAATATAACCAAAATAAGGTTTAAGGGAAATCTACACGAACATAAGAAGCACATTTTGTAAAGTCTTCATTTGCATAAGATCTTCAAGAGTGGCCAGTGCAATTAAGATCGAAGCAGACACCTTCAGTGTTCTATAATAAAGTACAATATGAATTTGTGTTTTAGAATATCGGCACTTTGCTGTTAACGTCTAGTATCATTCAAACTTGCAACGTAAGTTGACATTTGTTCTACTGGCTTTTGTGAATTATGTTTGTGCTCTGTACTTCTAATAAAAGCAAACTCATTTTTTGTTTTTTTATTTTTGCTTTACTTTTTTGTAGACTCAGGTAGGCCGCTTTGCACCTCAGTTTTCTGGTTATCAGCAGCAGGATTGCCAAGAACTACTTGCTTTCTTATTAGATGGCTTACATGAAGATTTAAATCGAATTAGAAAGAAGCCTTACATCCAACTTAAGGATGCAGAAGGGAGGCCAGACGAGGTACTTGTCATGTCTGAATTCTTGTGTAGATCCTGTCTTATTAATAGTGGCAGTGCTTTCTAGGCATTCTTGATAAAGTCTGCTCTTGTGTGTGATAGTAACAGTTCAAGTGTCACTATTCTAAACGTGATGATTCACATGAAGACATATGAATAGTCATGTTGTATTTATATTTGTTTCATATTGCAGGTGGTGGCTGAAGAAGCCTGGGAGAACCACATAAAGCGCAATGATTCAATTATAGTTGATATATTTCACGGGTTATTTAAGTCCACCCTTGTATGTCCTGAATGTTCAAAAATTTCTGTAACTTTTGATCCTTTTTGTTACCTAACACTTCCGCTACCAATGAAGAAAGAGCGTACCCTGGAAGTATATCTTGTTCGACTGGATCCCCTTTCTAAGCCTATGCAGGTAGGATTAATGAAATGAAGCACCAAACTATATTTAAAAATAAACTTTAGATGGCATTAAATGATTGAGCTTGCACTGCATGCACAAACAGATCTGGCACACACATTTCTATAAAGTGCCAGACTTAAGAATTCCACAGAAAACAGTAGAAGTGGTCATACTGTGGATGAACGTCATCTTGTGAGTGGATTTTCAATCCTTCCTGTGCGAAATCCCAGAATGTGAATCAGTTTTGTTCTATCAATAAAAGTACTTGTACACATTAAATGATGTGTACCCTGTGTGTAAGGGAGATAAGTGTTTGATGAAAAACTATGATATGATATGGTATGATTACAATAATGTAACAATTGAGATGAGTTGCTACTAGAAGTGTACCTTCCCATCTCCCATGCATAGACTTGTGAGATGTGAACATTTGGTCTTGCTTAGCATTCATTATTATTAATCGAACCACTGGACCTAGGTTTCTGAGGGCTGTTAGATTGCATTTACATGTCTGACCACACCTTTAAGCTGGCCATAAATGGATCGAAGTTCAGCAGGGACCAGCTGAATTGTGATCCATTGATGGCTGTTCCCACTAGAGAGAGGAGTTTATGTAACAATTGGATCCTCTTGAATGGAAATGTTGGAAAATACGAATAGGGCATTCAACCAGTTCAGCACTGATCAGTGTATTCTGACAGTAGAGGAGTCCCGCCATCAGAATTAAAAGGTGTAGCTGGGAGAAATCCTTCATCCAAATTGATGGTGTGAATGAGGAATCCGTTTGTTTTTGATCAATATATGGCCATTTTCACTAGAGAGAAGTCGATCCAATAATCAGGTACTCTCGAACGGGAATGTTGGAAAGTTTGCATTCGATCAGTGCATGCAGCCAGTTGGCTGCAGCGTTGATCAGTGTATTCTGACAGCGCAATGGGGAAAATTCGTTGATCCAACTTGATTGTGTGGATGAGGGAATCCATTCATTTTTTTTTACATTTCTTTTGATCAGCCGACTGGATCATCAAAAAAAAAAAAAAAAGAAATGATCTATGGCCAGCTATCAGCAGACCAGGTTTAAAATTTACCTTTTCTGCAGCAGTGATCAGAGTAAAGCTATACTTACAACTCTGGATAAGAGGTGTAGTGTGTTTTAGATGCAGTCCATGTTATTGTGATCATTTAATGGTCACTATGGAAAGTCCTGGTCACAAATTCTCAACACGTGCCTGCTTAATAAAACAGAACAAACCCTAATGAAAGTACCCCCTCCAGGCATAGAATTTATATATGAAGAAACCTATGTGCCAAGGTACATTTTTGGACCATTCCGATTGGTGTCATAGATTGTTTTCCTGAGTTTGTGGACTTAAATAATTATACTTTGTTTTGGACTTTACCCATGTTTTATTTGAAATCCAAGTGACTGCAGACTGTGAAGCTGGCACCTATCAGTGCCTGCATGTTCTTTCAGGTACCATAAAAGATAAAACCTTGGGCTCTGTTGTATACTTCTCAAATAAGCGCCCTCACTAATGCTTGCCAGGCTCTGCTACATGCACCTATGCTGATACTAAACATTCTGATGGGAGGAAAGTGCAGTGTGAGATCTCATCAGTGTGATGCTGCTTCTTCTTTGTCCAGTCATTGGATTAGGGCCCCTTTCAGGCGCTGTGGACTCCATTTTGATCAGCAGGGTATCTGTCCACTGAACCCCTAGAGAGCAGAGCAGACGGATGACAGGTTCTATGTCCACTCAGTTTCTGCACAGACAGAGCCCGCTCTGCTGTATGGGCAGTCGGGAGTAAACATAAATGGGCTCCGCTGTTTACATCCAACTGCCTTTTAATCCGATCCACCTAGATGGAGGGGGACGGATCACCTTACATTTTTTTTTTTTTTTTTTTGCACATTGGATTGGATGTAGGTAGGTGTAAATGGACACAAGTCTTAAAAACTGATTGACCTAATTGAACCATTTGTGTGAAAGGGGCCCATGGGTATGTTCTTGACCAGACCATGCTGCTAGTACAGTGGAGGTTGATGGTCTGACTCTGGTGAATGGCAACAGTGCATGGATCACAAAATTGGTTGTACGGAATTAGAAATCCTTTATTAGGTACACCAGATCCCATTTTTCAACTGGATATTCAGCCCCTTGCATAGAATTTAGCTTTAAGGAAGCTTAAAGAGAGCTCCTAAAATTACCTTTAAAACAGAACTCTCCAGAGAGTAACATTGGAGCCTCAGTTGCTACATTTTTGAAAGTGCAAGGTCGAAGACTGTCCTATGTATCCATCCTTCGCTACTTAGTGAGCCCTTATGTTGTTACATCTAAAGGCTGTTACACCGAAAATGGATATTGACATTTTTGGTAGATACAGGAAAGTTAAATCACCAAGTGACATCTCTCTGCAGTAGTGAAATTTGCTGTTCTAGTTTCCAGGCCTGCACACCAGCCACAGTCAATATTACGGGGTCCCACTGTCCCTGTTGAATGTATAATTTACATTATATGATGCAAAACACAATGAAAGGGATGGGAACAGAGCTGAGAATAGCAGTAATGAGAGCTCCCTTTTTTTTCCTCAAGAGATATAAGAAACCAGTTCTCTGCAACAGGTTGTGCAGTATTGATTAGCAACAGAAAACAAAGAGCACTCCATAAGAAGCTTAGTGATTTTCTATTACAGAAGAACAGATTTTTCTGACTAAAGATTGATATAGTATTAGAGGTCTTTTTAAATAGAAAAAAACCTCTAGCTGTTTCTTGTGCTTTACCTTGGATATCTGGCATATGTATGTATTTTTATTGTTTCAGTATAAAGTAGTTGTTCCAAAGATTGGCAACATTATGGACCTTTGTACAGCTCTTTCATCGCTTTCAGATGTGCCTCCAGAAAAGGTATGTATGGTTGCCAGTATATGTTTCCCTGAACTTTATGCTTCTTAGGCTAATTATATAATTTTATTTTTCCTCTTTCTGCAGATGGTAGTCACAGATATTTACAACCATAGGTTTCACAGGATATTTGCTATGGATGAAAACTTAAGTAGTATAATGGAACGTGATGACATATATGTGTAAGTTCAGTAGTACTGTAAGTGTCTGAAATATGTGACTTATTATCAGATGATTCTAGATCTGGTTAACAAAAAGACCCTTATGTTGTCATTGTACCATGTCATAGCTACAAAAATGGCTACTAGAGGGAGTATGTCTCTTTATGCTGACTATATACAGCCACAAACTTTACTAATGCAAATGCAGTCATCTTCTTGCATGATGATTAAATACTGTGCATGCCCAGTGAATTCACTGTACTATCGGCACTACCCCAGTGGACGTTTTCTACATGCTGACAAATTTGGGTTAGACAATAAGTTCCCAAGAATAGCCAAGAATTTTTAGTTATAGATAATTATTGAACTCCTACATAGCCAGATATGCAATGGGGTTGAATAGAAATAGACTGTGCACTTTACAAGTCCAGTTGCAGTCATTCTCCCCAGAACTAGTGAATGTGCAAAGCTTCACTTTGTAAAGAATACTCAGTCAGGTGCAAGGGAGAAAAAAAAAAAAAACATTTTTGCACATGATTGGATGATAGAACTTTTGGAGAGCTTCATCTCCATTTGCCTTTAGTAAATCAACTCCGAGTCATTGCAAACAGTGACTAAATCTGTTCCATTGCTTATAGCTATTGAGTCATGTGTAGAGACATTGATTTAGATTGAGTACACCTTAGAGACTGAAATTTTAGCCAGGGATAGAGAAATCTTAGTTGACTTGGTATGGTCACTTCAAAGTATATTTTTGTAAAGAAAAATGTATGGTTTGCCAGTTCCCCTCTCATCTATTACGCCTTCGCACAGATCTCCTATGTGGTGCAAACCTGTTCCCCATTTCCTGGACCACCTCCACATCAAGCAGTATTTTTATCCATTTTTGTTAGGCAGGCAACTATGCTGCAGTGCACAAGCACAATCACAAGTTCTATATAAAGATAAATGGGAGAGCCGAGACATTTTTAATTTTATTATTATTATATAGGATTTATATAGCGCCAACAGTTTGCTCAACGCTTTACAGTATAAAGGGAGACAATACAGCAATGATACAGTTCAATACAAGAGGGTTAGAGGGGCCCTGCTCCTTGGAGCTTATAATCTTAAGAGATATGACCTTATGTTTAGTAATATAATGTTCTTTTTTTTTTTTTTTCTTCTTTTTTTTTTTTTTTTTAAAGAATCACACACAAGTACTTTTTTTTTTGTCTTGCCAGGTTTTGCTTAATTCAGTCAACGAATATCACAGGTCCTTAACAAAGAACTTTTTGGTTTATGATTCAAAATCCAGGCTATTTTGAAGTAATGGTAACAATAGTGTTCCTGAGTATTCTAGTATTATGTCTGCAGTTTTCTAGAAACTGCTTAAGTATAAAACGAATTTACAATACCATTGTTATAATGGATGTTTAGATAGATTTGGCTAACAAACTAAAGCCACTTTCCAGCCTTGATTGTACGTCTTGGTTCAAATAGAGAGGAAGGCAGACAGAAGCTTTACAGTGCTGAAATTCACAGATCTGCCAGGAGGGAAAAGGGATAGAAGACACTGTCCTTGCAAGTTTAACTCTTTTGTATCTCCCTGGCTGCAAAGTTTGTCCTGTCACCTCCTGTCACTTCTGCTTTTCTTTTCCCTCTCCCTAATTTTTGTTCCCTAAGCACAGTCTGTGTCATTGCTGTTGCTTTCTCCCCCTTTCAGCAACAGTAAATCTTAAAGCTGTCAGCTGATCGACCTCTAATGGCTTTGATTTTAGGCACAGTGCCTAGAATAGAGTGCAACTGAACATGAGCAGATCAGGGTGAGAAAGTGTATAACTGGATTTTAAACAGTATAGGCATTTATTTTGAATGTTTTACATAGCTATGCCTGCAAAAGGGGCCAGCCTGAAGTGATCTATCAGGACATCATTTTTTTTTTTTTACTAAAGTTCCACGTTAAAGTAGGTTTAAAAATAGCAGACTTACTGGCTGGATCAACAGGTGAAAATAACAGGAAAAAAAGCCTACAAAGGAAAACTTAACTTTGTGATTGGGGCTAAAACCTAGATCATTTGTAACATAACAGAACATTTGAATGCAGAGAGAGTAATGCTGATTATCTCAGATGTGCCTCATATTAACTTAATACTCTGCTTCTTCAATAGAACAAAATATTCACTTACTTATGGTTGGTGTAGATTCTTTCATATTCTTATTTGCCTTTACATGATATAGATGTGTAAATATGTTCCTGTTCATGCCTGATTTTAATCAGTATTTTGTTCATTAGATTTGAAACATCTATAACCAGGTCAGAAGATACAGAGCAAGTCATAATTCCTATATATTTACGTGAGAAATTTCGCCATACCAGTTACAGTCATCACCATGGCTCTACGTTGTTTGGTCAGCCCTTCCTTATGACTGTGCCTAGGAACATTACTGAAGATAAACTGTATAATCTACTGTTAACAAGGATGTGGTATGTATTTTCTTGTTTCAGTAGTTTTTATTGGTTTTATCAAAGGATAAGGTTTACAGGGTAGGTACAAACAAGTATAACAGCCACATCTGGCTGAACTGTGGCCGATCATCAAAGGTTACAAATGGGTTTCAAGAAACAATAAACAGTCTGAGGTAAACATCATCTAGGTAAGCACATGACAAAACTAGGTCCCCTGTGAGACTTGGGGACATCAAGTACTCTACTGTTGTGACCTTCCAAAAAATAAAGATTTTTGTCAAAACAGGTCATATAGTATATTCAATTACGGCCTGTATGGCTCTGTGGAGTCCCATCAACCCCCTCCCTCTTCTCATAGTAGGGAGGGAAGGAGATCCCAACAGTGCCATTAGTTATCTTGTTCTTCAATAAACTGAGAAAATAGGGTCGGGGGGAGGGGAGAAAAGAAAAGTAGAAGTGAAGGTGTGCACCCTCTCTTCGTTATCCCTCCATCGCTGTCAATGAGGGTTGGAGAGATATTTTATCCAGGGATCCCAAGTTTTCTCGAAGTAGGCCATCTGATCATGTGGTATATATTTTCTTGAAAAATGTCTGGCTTTGTGAATTTTCACTCTTAGCTCTGAAGTCAGAGCTCTGACATGACAGAGCTGGGTTTTTAAAGCTGAGAATCCCAGGTAGGTGGATTCTAGGCTGATGAAGAAGGTGATGAAAGTGAAATTCAAGGCTATAACTAAACTTAAAATTGTGCCCACCCCCCTTTTAACTCCTATTCTAACTACTCTGTGGAAGGAAGAAGCTTATAGATATCTACTCTGAGCACTGTGGTCACATGATCTCCCCAGTCACTGGCTTCAGGGGAGAAGCGCAGACAGCATATGGAATGTCTGGGCGTTGACATCACCCATAGGCTTACTATGGGGCTTCTGTTGTTGGCTGTCCCTCCTTTCCACTGAAGTCAATCATGTGATCTAACCAGAGCACTCTGAGAATAAGTATGAGCATCTATCTTCTACAGGGTAATTGGAATAGGATTTGGAAGGGGGTTCGCTATAACGAACTGAGCCGGAAGTTCACCCCTTCCCCCCGCAGCCCTCTGGGACATTTAACAGGTCCCAGAGGACTTTGGTCCATTCACAAAGCGCAGCGCAATTCGCTCATGCGCAGTAGGAAAGCAATCTCCAACTTCCTTTTTGGGCAGTAAATCGGGATCATCACCTCTGTCCAGTGAGTAGGGAGGTGACCAACGAAACAGTAATACTAGACAAGGAATTAGCAGTGGACATTTATTATTATTATTATACAGGATTTATACTGTATAGCGCCAACAATTAGTTCAGCGCTTTACAATATAAGCGAGACAGTGCAATTACAATACATTTCGGTACAGAAGGAATATGAGGGCCCTGCTCATGGAGCTTACAACCTATAGGCTAGCAAAGGTTGTATAAAAAGAATAGTTGCCAATAAATGCTAAATTTTTGACTGTAATAAGTTTAACAATGTATTTATCTGTTTGATTGGACTTCAACTTTAGTAAGCTGGTAGCACTTGATTTTACACACTGCAGAATGTTTAGATATAGAAGGTAGAAAGTAACCCTAGTCCTAAATGAGTTAAATAATAGTATATCTTTATTTTATTCCTGAGTAATCTTGGTTTTTTTTCCCCCTCTCTGTTTTTACAGCCGATATGTAAAAATCACCAGTGATGGTGAAGAAAATGATGCCCCCCTGCACTGCAATAAAGAACATACTGTTAATGGAAATGGTCCAAACGGAGTCCATGAAGAGGGCTCCCCAAGTAAGATTTGTTTAATAAGTGGTGCTAGGTGTATTATTGCTTTGGCTGGCCCAAAACATAAATATTTGTTTCTGCTTTTAAATATGTCAATTATGTTTTATAAAAATTTAATTTCTGGTATGAAATGCCTGCTTTAACTATAGTTAGCCAGAAAAACATCCTCCATGTTCCTTTTTGCAATTCTAGAGCCACTCTGTTGCCTTAACTGCACTTGGAAGTGCCACCCTGCTGCTCACTATGGTTTCTGGGCTCTACCATTCCCCTGGGAGTCCTGGACATCAGTAACTAGGTTCAGGGTTGAGAATGGGATGTGCTCAGAAACATCCATTCGCCAATCTCCTCTGTGACTTATAAATCAGGCAGCAACAAGCATTTAGTCACTTTTGTGTCTTCCGGCAGGGGCAGGGAAAGCAGCTAATCAAATATAATCTGTCCTTGATTAGCTGCAGGGGAGGCATTATACATTTAAAAGACCCCTAGGGGTTTATTTACTAAAGCTGGAGAGTCCAAAATCAGACTTCCTTCTGCATAGAAACCAATCAGCTTCCAGGTTTCATTGCCAAAGCTTCATTGAACAAGCTGAGGTTAGAAGCTGATTGGTTTCTATGCAGAAGGGAGTCTGATTTTGGACTCTCCAGCTTTAGTAAATAAACCCCCTACTGTCTTCATATAGAGGACCTGTCACCTGGCCATTCTATCACTTAGGGAGCTTGTTAGGCCCCTTGTCAGATCAATAAAGTTAAATGAAACAAGTGTTAAAAAAATGTAAGTCATTATAAAATGTTAAAAAATATAAAGCAACCCAACTTCTCTGTGCCACATGTAAATGCAAATGCTCAAGTAGGGCATGCATGTGTATGTACACAGCAATTGTGCAACACATCTAACATATTGCCACTGTCTAGGGGCATCATTCATGGTTAACTAATAAGTTGTAAATGCTTTTTTTTTTCTTTTTTTTTTTTTTTTTTTTTATCCTAATAAATTTCACCAATAGACAGTTTTGGGTAGCTTTGTCTTTCACCATTTTTAGGGTTTGACATGGCTGGTATCTATTTATCTGGCACAACCTCATCTTTTATATTTTACAAAAATAGTAGATATTACAATGTGTTTGTATTAAAATTCATTTTATTGTAATCCCGAGTGGAGCAATTGCCCCAGAATAGTCACCTTTGGGTATTTGCTGGTACCCACTGATATAAAGGTTATTGCATCAGGTAACCGTCTTAAATGTAGATGTATATTTACACCTCCTTTTTGCTTCTGGTGCAAAACATATAATTCCTGTTGTGACTCAGTATTGCTTCTGTGTATCACTCTTTCTATTGCCCTTTCTTCTCTCTGATTCACAGTGATCTTGCTAATTCTGTATACTGATGCATGTAAAGAGCCATCATTGATGTCATTGTAATAACACTCTGTGTATTTTTTTAAGGTGAAATGGAAACCGATGAACCAGATGATGAGTCTAGCCAAGATCAAGAGCTTCCTTCAGAGAACGAGAACAGCCAGTCAGAAGATTCTGTTGGAGGTGATAATGACTCAGAAAATGGATTGTGCACTGAAGAAACCTGCAAAGGACAATCACTCACAGGGCAGAAAAAACGCTTGTTTACATTCCAGTTCACTAATTTAGGCAATGCTGATATCAGCTATATCAAGGATGACACTCGGTACATTCGATTTGATGATAGACAGCTTAGGCTAGATGGTAAGTCAAACATTTTCATGTGCACTTCTGGCCAGCGTCTCTTGCACTGTAATATCAGTTTTGGAATTCTATATTGCTTCCTCTACTTACTTTAACCCCCCCCCCCCTTTTGTTATTCAACAGGCATCTTTATTTTTAATGTACATGTTTTTCAACCATATAAATACATTTTTCGTAACAGTTCTGTTTGTATCCAGTTAGTAAACAACTGGCCTTGGAACGTTTTGTAAAGTGGAACATTTCTTGAAATTATCACCAGCTTTTAATTTACTAATTTTTGTTTAACAGTCCTCTTAAAAGCCATGAATAACATTAATACGAGAAAGATTTTTTTTTTCTTTTGATGTTATGGTATTTACTTTCATTAAAAATCTAAAAGCATTTATTTTGTTTACTATAAAGTGTGGAAGGGTTACAACCCTTGTCAATACCCCTGTATTGCAGTCTTTGTTGCCGCTGTGGAAATGAACTGTCTTTATTTTTCCTTGTGACTGTTGTCAGACCAAAAGTGATTGGAAATTTAACATGGGAACATCCTGGTCGGGTGACAGCTGTTTGAGGAGGGAACTCACATCACTTTGAAGAAACCTTTCCACTCAATTCCTGTTGTGTTTCTGAGACAAAAAGTGAAAATAAATTTCCCTAACTTGAGGCAAACAGCAGCTTGACGGGTTCAGACCTTTCACTACCCTATCCAAAATCTAAAACTGTAAATCCAGTTTTGTTAGAAATACATTTTAACACTTGCTTTGTAACACAGCAAGCTGCACCTCATTCAGTTAAAGGAGAAGTACGGTCAAAGCTTTTTTTGGCTGTAATTCTCCTATGGATCACAGGAATACAATTCACTCTGCACTCCTCTGACCCGTTTTCCTCTGATAGCGGGCTGAAGCCCTCTGTCGGTTGATGTCACAGAGCTGGTCCAAGGTCTGAAAAGATCCACCCAGAAGCCTGAACTGGCAGTTGGCTCAGCCTCTCAGCAAGCTGCTGGGAAACTGAGCCAGCCAGTCCCTCCCCTCCTCAGCACAGCGCTGAAGTGGTCGCTGGAGGGACAGAGCAGAGAGCCAGTGACTGATAGTCCTCAGCTCTTTGCAGCCTGAAGATTGATAACTGAGCAATCAGCAGTGTTTGATTGCTCAGTTATTGGTATTAGACCCTGCGGGGGACAGATGCAGCATCAGACCGATTCTGCATCCACCTACTGTAGGTTAGTATAATTTTTTTTCCTCGTTAATCCATAGTTCTCTTTTAAGTGTCTTTCATTGGAACTGTCAGTGCTGACCAATAGTAGTAGCCAATTATGTCCAAATTTTCATTCTGCAATTCTTATATTTTGTAAGTTTTAATCTAATTGCTATGATTTTAAAAAAGGTAGTTCTAATGAGACCTTTTGGTAAATGAGACCCACTGCTGTTTGTGTTATCTAGAGGTAGAGGCTGGACAGAAACGTACCACATTGTTATTCAGTGAAATGCCAACAAATGTTTGCTTTGAGTGGGGACACTATCTCACTCAGCTGGCAATTTAAAAAAAAAAAATCACCATTGTGTGGAATGAATTCAGTCAGAAACTTTTACTTCTTAGTCACGTGAACATAGGTGACATTACAGGTATATTACCATGATGTAGAATTTGGAAGACCTGGGCATAGAGCTGAAACTAGAAGTGGTAATTCAAAGTTTGGTGCCATAATCTTTTTCTTTTTCAATATCCCTGATGCTGCACAGTTTGACTTTGGTGGAAATGTTATTTGTAGGCAATGCTAACGAGAATGTTACCACAGGATGCGTGGCCCTTATTATTTATTCTCGTTATGAGTACAAAAGGTATACCATGCTGAATGGCTCAATACACACTTCTGTATTCACTGAAAATGGTAAAGCATCAACTCAAATATTGCCTCCATTCATTTTCATTTCTTTAATTTCTTTACCTGATCCTCTATCCCAATAGGAAAGCACTAAGCAGTGTGGGAGGAACACCTCCCAAGTAAGTCAGGATCTGGATGCCCTTCTGTATCTACTACTTTTGTGAGCATAGCTTTAATCTTTTTGCTGCAAGGCCATCCGCTCCACTTTTAATATCATGTAGTTAGATTTTTGCTATTTAAATAAATCAACTTGAAGCAGTGCTCACACTAAATGCTAAAGTATCCAAGACACTCTTGATTTAAATAATACTAATGTGGCAACTTATGTGCACTGAGACAGTAAAAACAAACATCTACACAGGTCACTGGCTTCAGAATCTCTTGATGCTGTGACCTGAAGTCTCACATAGTACATGTATGCATCGGCTCACATTCATGGAATGATGAATATAAAACTGGAACGAGTGCACTCATAAACAGAGTCTTTGTGAGCAGCAGTAATAAACGCCTGATACCACTGAAAAAGAAACAAGCTGAGTGCTTCTCCTAATGTTCCTTTTTTGGTGGTATCAGTTGCACTCTGTGCAGAGGCGTCCTGTTTATTTAAAAACTGAAGATGTTGTGAACAGTGTTTACTATGTTGCAGTTATGAGTGTATCTAGGAATGATTGATACAAATCACTCACTGTGTTCATTTTGGAAAACATAGACATTGTTTGGTAAGTACGAGAGACCAGTTTACTGAATCCCCCCACCCCATCTCCCAACCATTCTAAAATCTTCCCTTGTGTCCGCAACCACTGACAGTAAGCTGGGAGCGAAAGCAGTAGAAGACAGAAGCACTGGAGGGAGAACCGTCGGGGGTTCATCAGCGTGGCGGGGGATGCCGGAGAGGATTGGAGCACACAGGGAGGTGGAGGAGAAAAGGCAGGAGATGGGGCACAGCTTGTAGCCACACAGGCTGCAGGGGAAACGGCAGCAATATGGATAGCGGACAGCAATAGTATTGGGGGTAGGTGGGATTGTCGCATTTTTAGTGAATAGCATTGATCATCAGCAAGTCAGCCACTGATGAAAGCAGTTTATTTCAGCAGCTCACTAAAATGACCATGAGCTTATAGTAGAAGGTGAAATGTAGCTAATGAAGGCCATACTGACCTGGCCAGCTGTAAGTATTTCTAGGCCACCATATGCCCTACATTAGTGGCAGCGTAAAGGGTAATGCTTTTATTTGTTATGCTCTTAATATATTATTTTTCATTGTAGTGTGACACCCATGTTTCTCTTTATCTTCTGTACACGCATAACCCTATAGAAAAAACTGTAACTTAAAACTTGCTTTTCTAGAAAGCTCATATCTTGCTTTGGACTGGGATCCAAAAATGAAGAAAAAATACTTTGATGAAAATGCTGCAGAGGTAAGCAGTCACCTTGCATTCCTTTTTTTTTTTAATCAGCGTAGACAGCAGACATTAGAAATAATTTTTAATCTATTTTAACAGCCTTGTAACTGAAACAATTCAGAAACAAATAATGAAACTTTCCAAATTAAAACATGTATTGTGTTAAAAATAAATACATTAATAAAACATAGTTGATGCATATCCACATGTTTTAAAGTGAGTTTGTGCAAATACAGGTTCACTTTAAAGAACTCCCCCCCAGCAGGATATGCTTACCTTTACCTTTTTCTTTGTTCCCTGTGGCTAAATGGAGCCACAGGTGAGCAAACGAGACAGCCATTTGTAGGCTCAATTTGGCACAAAGATGATTTTATCTTTGCTGCAACAGGATAGTGCTGGGCTAAGCACCAGTGCTTTTACCATGGAGTCAGTCACATGTCATGTTCCTCCATACCCGGAAGTTGTAGTTCTTTCCAGTCATTTTCCAAGACAGATGCTTGAGAGATGATTGGTTTCACCTTCACCAGGAAACACAAGCAGAAATTTTAACCGTTAGAGGAAGGGTATCTGCTGGAATTTTTTAGCCTCTGCCCACCCTGAAAATTTTTTTCTGATACAACTGGTAAAACAAAGGTGCTAGTAGACCTCCATTTGAACTTTTCAGCAACAGAGATAAATAGAGCCAGTGCCATCAGAACAGTTCCTTCAACCTTTTTCCCCACGTATTTGTGGTTCAGAAGCAGTTGAGGATATATTGCAAGATTATAAATTTAAGGATGCTTGACCACTATCTACCCTCCTGAAAGTTTAGGATAGAAAGTATCTATTTGGTGAGAAAAAACCTTATAGAAAAATGTGTAATTTGGAGTTCAGACAGTAGATGGCATTCAACATTGGCAATTCCAAGCTTTGCTTATTGGTCTCTCTGTGGCATGCAGAATATTTGTATCAAGGTATGAGCCGAATGATGTTTCTGTTTACAAGGATTTCAATCCTTCTCTAGATGACATCCTTCTGTACACTCAGACCCAAAATATTTTATTACTCAGACTCCACAAAGTACTGGAAACTCTACAGACTCTGTGGTGAAGAGTAAACTTGAAGGAATCCTTTTGTCTTCCTAGAACAGAATATTTATGAATACCTAATGAAAGACTGTCACAAAAGATATTTTTACACCTGGAGAAGGTAGACACATTCAGGAAATAAGGGCATGTTGTCTAGTATCCATCAGGCAGATCATGAGGCTTCAAGGACTATTGACTGTCTCTATTCCAGAAGTCATCTGGACACAGATACACTCCAGAGGACTATTTATTTTTTTTTTTTCAGGTACTTATATAGCGCCGTCAATTTACGCAGCGCTTTACATACATATATTGTACATTCACATCAGTCCCTAACCCTCAAGGGGCATACAATCTAAGGTCCCTAACTCACATTCATACATATACATACTAGGGACAATTTAGACAGGATCCAATTAACCTACCAGCATGTCTTTGGAGTGTGGGAGGAAACTGGAGTACTTGGAGGAAACCCACACAGTCACAGGGAGAACATGCAAACTCCAGGCAGGTGGTGCCAGGGTTGGGATTCGAACCAGCGACCCTAGTACTGCCAGTCAGAAGTGCTAACCATTTAGCCACTGTGCTGCCCTGGACTACAAAGCTTCTTCTGGTCAAAATTAGGTCAAAACCCAGATTCTCTGGAATCTTGGTCCTTCTCCTTCAGCAGCATGTCTAGACATGGCCTGGTGAATAGATATAATTAACGTTTCAACTGGGTCACTTTGGATATACAGTCACAGCAGATGTCAAAAACTGGGGTTGGGAGGCTAATACTCCCTCTAATCAGGTTCAGAGAATATGAGAGGTGACTATGGTGGAAATTGTGTCCCACTACAGGAATCTGACAACCTTAAGAAAAGTCCTTCTTGCTTCAAAAGAAACTTGTCAGGCATCAGCATGTACCTTTACTCTCAGAAAACAGTACCACAGTCTTACATCAGTCACCAAAGTGCTACCAGATCACCAGAATTTTTGGAGTTAGCATGAAACATTTTGACCGGGGGTCCCTAGATACAGTAAGGGATTTTCTCAGCTGATAGACCTTCCGGCAGACAAAATGGGAGCTCAGCCAAGTAGTATTTCTTCAATAGCTTAGAAATAGGGAATGCCCAGAGTGGACTTCTTATGTCTAGGAGAAACGGGAAAGTTGAGCTGTTTTTTTCAGAGCCAAAAGAAGGAATCTCTGGGAGTAGATGCTTTTTCTTCCCTTTTGACTCTTCTAGCGTACGCTTTTTCTCTTTCTTCCATTGATTGTCCAAAAGATGGAGCTATTCAAGGGCATGCTGATCCTTGTAGCCCTTTGGTGGTGCAAGAGGACCTTATTTACAGTTGCAAGAAAAAGTATGTGAACCCCTTGGGATTACGTGGAGTTTTGCATAAATTGGGCATAAAATGTGCTCTGAACGTCATCTAAGTCACAACAATAGAAGAACACAGTCTGCTGAACATAATACTACACAAACATTAGATGTGGCCATGGTTTAATTGCACATAACATGTAAACATTCACAGTGCAGGGAGGAAAAAGTATGTGAACCTTTGGACTTAATAACTGGTTGACCCTCCTTTGGCAGCAATAACCTCAACCAAACGTTTCCTGTAGTTGCAGATCAGACCTGAACAACGATCCGGACTAATTTTGGACCACTCCTCTTCACAAAACTGTTTCAGTGTAGCAATATTCTTGGGATGTCTGGTGTGAATCGCTCTCTTAAGGTTATGCCACAGCATTTCAATCGGGTTGAGGTCAGGACTCTAACTGGGCCACTCCAGAAGGCGTATTCTGTGCTGTTGCAGCCTTTGTTTTGTTGAATTACTTGTATGCTTTGGGTCATTGTCCTGTTGCATCACCCATCCTCTGCGGAGCTTCAGTTGGCGGACAGATGGTCGTACGTTTTCCTGCAAAATGTCTTGATAAACTCTGGAATTAATTTTCCCATCAATGACAACAATCCGTCCAGGCCCTGAGGCAGCAAAGCAGCCCCAAACCATTAAGCTCCCTCCGCCATGTTTTATAGTGGGGATGAGGTTTTGATGTTGGTGTGCTGTGCCTTTTTTTCTCCACACATAGTGTTGTGTGTTCTTCCCAAACAACTCAATCTTGGTTTCATCTGTCCACAGTATATTTTGCCAGTAGTGCTGTGGAACATCCAGGTGCTCTTTTGCAAACTTCAATATTCTTTTTGGACAGCAATGGCTTCCTCCGTGGTGTCCTCCCATGTACTCCATTCTTGTTTAATGTTTTCCTTATTGTAGATGTGTCAACAAAAATGTTAGCATGTGCCAGAGATTTCTGTAGGTCTTTAGCTGACACTCTGGGATTCTTCTTTACCTCATGCAGCATTCTGCGCTGTGCTCTTGCAGTCATTTTTACAGGACGACCACGCCTAGGGAGAGTAGCAACAGTGCAAAACTTTCTCCATTTGTAGACAGTCTGTCCTACCGTGGACACATGAACAACAAGGCTTTTGGAGATACTTTTGAAACCCTTTCCAGCTTCATGCAAGTCAACAATTCTTGGTCGTAGGTCTTCTGAGAGCTCTTTTCTGCGAGGCATGGTTCACATCAGACAGTGCTTCTTGAAACCAGTAAACCCAAAACAGGTGTGTGTTTTTTAAGGGCAGGACAGCTGTCAGCAACACATCCAATATCATCACACTGATTGGAGTCAAGGTTGGCTCACTCCTGGCTCCAATTAGCTCTGAGAGAAGTCATTAAGCTAGGGCCTCACATACTTTTTCCTCCCTGCACTGTGAATGTTTACATGTTATGTCCAATTAAACCATGGCAACATCTAATGTTTGTGTAGTATTATGTTCAGCAGACTGTGTTCTTCTATTGTTGTGACTTAGATGATGTTCAGAGCACATTTTATGCCCAATTTATGCAAAACTCCACATAATCCCAAGGGGTTCACGTACTTTTTCTTGCAACTGTAGCTAGTCCTCAAATTATGTCTCTGACATTACCCTCCCAATCCTCATTTCTTTCACATGATGACCTAACTCTTGAAAGGGGACATCTTAAGTGTCTGAGAATGCTAAGAAAGGTAGATCAAATCTGTAGAGCACAGTATAGTCAAAACACTTTTATGAGACATTACAGAGTGGAGGTGCTATCCCAACAAAATTTGAGGTTTGCTTATACAGTGCTCAGTATAAATGAGTATACCACTTTTGAAAAGTAAGATTTTAATCAATATCTCAAGGAACACAAGAACAATTTCCAAAATTTTTACAAAACTGAGTTTTATAGAACATATGTTTTCTTTATTACACGAAAGTAAGGTTAATAATATAACTTGGATTACAAAATCTTCAGATTTACTCAAATTAGTTGATGCAAAAATGAATACACCCCACAAAAAAAACTACTACATCTAGTATTTTGTATGACCTCCATGATTTGTAAGGACAGCACCAAGCCTTCTAGGCATGGAATGAACAAATAGGCAACATATTGCAACATCTATCTTTTTCCATTCTTCAAGAACGACCTCTTTTAGAGCCTGAATGCTGGATGGAGACTGATGCTTAACTTGTCTCTTCAGAATTCCAGGAGAAATACTCTAGGAGACATACTTAGCCACTGAATCTGTTTCACCCTGTTCTTCTACAGAAATACAACAGTGGCCTTAGATGTGTGTTTTGGATCATTGTCATGTTGGAAAAGTGCATGACGACCAAGGGCACAGAGTGATGATAGCATCTTCTCTTTCAACATAGAGCAGTACATCTGTGAATTCATGATTGCCATCAATAAAAGGCAGCTCCCCGACACCAGCAACACTCATGCAGAAGGACACAGCCACCACCATGCTTCACTGTAGGCACCATGCATTTTTCTTTGTACTTTGTACACCTTTGTGATTCCATACAGTTTTGAAGCTATCAGTTCCAAAAACATTTATCTTGGTCTCATCACTCCTCCAGAGTACAGAGTCCCAGTAGTCTATACTTTTTCAACATGGGCCCTGGCAAATTCTAGCCGGGCTTTTTGTGCATGGACTTTAGGAGAGGCTTCCTTCTTTGTTCCACACACATGTTCTTCTATGTTCCACACACATGCATGCCATTCCTCTGCAGTGTACGCCATATTGTGTCATGGGAAACAATCACCCTAGTTTGGCTTTCTACTTCTTTAGCTAACTGCAGTAAACTTGCATGGCAATTTTCTTCAACCCTTCTCATCAGAAGACACTCCAAGGTGTTAACTTCCGTGGATGGCCTCAATGTCTCTGTGAGACAGTTGCGGTTCCATCTTTGTTAAATTTTTGTATCACTTTTGCTACTGTATTCTGATTGATAAGAAAAGCTTTGCTGATCTTCTTGTAGCCTTCACCTTTCTTGTGTAAAGAAATTACTTTCTTTCTCAGGTCTTGTGACATTTCTCTTCCATGTGGTGCCATTGCTGACAGCATAAAATGAGAAGGGGTTTTTGTTTAAGTAATGCCCTGTTATAATCAACTGTCTGCTGGACACCTGTTTAACCCTTTCGCTGCCTGGTCCATACGCTGCATGGGCCTGACAGCGGGCAGTTTTATACACAATCCAGTGGCTGTAGCCATCGGGATTGTGTATAAAAAAACTGATAGGCAGATTCCTGCCTGTCAGGTGGAAGTAGTCAGATGGCTCTGCTGCCACCGATCTCTTTCACAGCTCCCCCGTTCAGGTACCACCCCACCCCCCAGTTTGTGTGCACCCGCCATGTAACCGGGCTCCGCTTGCCCATCTGCAGGCCCGGAGAGAGCCATGTTGGGTGGAGGGGAGAGAGGAGAGCAAGCGAGTGTCTGCTCCCCTTCTATGGGTGGCCTGGTCATGGCTGACACTTTGCTTGCTATAGAATAGCTGAAGAAAGGTGTATTGCAATGCAGTTTGCATTGCAATACATCTAATGGAGCCCAGGTGAGACATGCAGAGTCTTTCAGACCCTGCATGTCTCAATAAAGAGAATCTGTCATCAAAAATCATCACATAGGGGACTCTGTGTCCCGTATGTGATGGAAAAAAAATAAGTTAAGTTTAAAAAAAAAAATTACTCCCAAGCACATAACGCCCCCCCAAATTTTTTTTTGAGGCCTCCCCACCCCTGCATATATGCACATACGAACATAAACGCACAGGTCAGGGTACCTACACATGAAAATGTTGATTGTGATACACATGTTACATATTGCCGCACGTGCCAGAGGTAGAGCAATAATGCTAGTTGGGTATCTATTTACTCGGCGAAACCTTGTATTTTATATTCTATCAACCATTTGGGTAAATCATTGCATTTGTTTGCCCTAAAATTCACTTTAGTGTGATTTTTACTAAAATTTTGGGTTTCCTAGACCTTTGCAAAAATATCGTCTGACATTTAATAATTGGAACTACCACTATTTTATTCTCTATGGTGTCTGCTTTCAGAAAAAAATATAATGTTTGGGGGGTTTTGTGTAATCTTCAGGCCTAAAATGATTTGTTTTAAACGTGTGCAAAAAAAAAAACGCAAAAAAAAAAATCGGCTCTGGCAGTGAAAGTGTTAATGAATAATTAGACTCACTTGTAGTTGAATTCTTGTTAATTAGGATTTTGTTGTCTAAAATTCTATCTTTGTTCCTAAGACTTTCATTGGGGTGTTTTCATTTTTGCAACATGGTCTTGAATGAATTTGTTAGGAAAAATACTTTGTGTGTGCAAATGAACAAATCTTGTTTGTAATCAATGGCCCGTATTTGGAGTATTTTGTAGTATAGTGTCCCATAGAAAATGTTCATTCTGAATGGAAAGTAAAGGTCTTCTAAAAAATCTGTCGGGGTGTACTCATTTATGCTTAGCACTGTACAGGCTTTTTTTCTCACTTAGCTGTCCTGGAAAATTACTGGGAACATTTCTAGTTAGACTTACCAGTAATGGTATTTCTAAGAATCTTCCAGGACAGTGTTTCTATTTTCCATCCTTTGGACAGTATCATGTCTGGTTCTTTGTTTGTAAAGTTCTCCTATGCGCTAGGAGGCATTAGTCTACTCTAAATTTACTGTGGGACAAGGGGCGTGGAAGGGGTTTTTAAAGTCTCTGCTTGTGTTCCCTGTTGAAGATGGAACCAGTCATTTCTCACATAGCTGTCCTAGGAGATTCCTAGAATTACTGTTACAGTTAAGTCTGAGAATATACTCCGTTGTTCCTAGACTAAATGGTTAGGTGGGGGAGCGATGGAAAGGTATCTCCTGCTGCTTGGGCACAGCGAGTGTGTGTATGTGTGTGCGTGTGTGTACACTTTTTTTTTAAACCTGTCCTGAAAACAAATACAGTGGTACCTCGGTTAACGTAATTTTCGGTTTACGAATGAAAATAATGCCTCAGTTTGAGTTTTTTACTAATACGAAAGTGTATGTCGGTGCTGATTTTTAAATGCAATTGCTGGCTTTTTCTTCTTTTTTTTTTCTCCACTATAGCTCACAAGATTAGCTGTCACTTTCCCTGGAGTTACAGGAAACTTTGTTTCTCTTAAACTAAAAGGAAACATTGTTTCTTTTAACTTGGGGAAATAAACTAAAAAAAACTTTCTCTTTTTTTAGCTGGGGGAAAGTGACAGCTGAATTTCTGAGCTATAGTGAAGGGAAATTACATTTAAAAACCAGCTCCATAATAAATAACAAAACAGCATGGGGGTCTCCCCTCCCATCCAAACCAAACCCTTTGGGTCTGGCATGGATTTTGAGGGTAACTCCCACACCAAAATTTAAAAAAAAAAAATGGTGTGGGAATCACCCCCTCCCATCCATACCAGACCCTTATCCGAGCATGCAGCCCGGAAGGTCAGGAAACAATACCAGGCCACATGCCCTCAACATGGGGGGTGCTTTGGGCCCAGTGGTTGTGGGGGGTCTGCGGGCAGGGGGCTTATCAGAATCTGGAAAAGACACAACACGGTCTTCGACAAGTCCTTTATTAAAAGAAAAAACTAAAAGAATGTCCCCCGCAGTAGATCCAACGTCAATCACGATGCCCGCCGCCGACCCGGAAAAATAAAAAGGTTCCATTCCCGACAATGGCTGCCAGCCCTCTGCCTGCTCCGGTGGTTTGACAGTTCTTAAATTGGTAAGGGGCAGGGCCACTCAGGGACATCACGCATGTGACCCCAACCCATGTGACATCAATGATGTCACATGGGGTGGAGTCACTCAGGTGATGTCTGGGTGGCCCTACCCCTTACCTATTGTCAAACCACCGGAGCAGGCAGAGGGCTGGCAGCCATCGTCGAGAACGGAACCTTTTTTTTTTTTTTTTTTTCTTTCTTTCTTTTCGGGTCAGCGGCGGGCATCGTGATTTACGTTGGATCTACTGCAGGGGACATTCTTTTACTTTTATCTTTTAAAAAAAAGGACTTGTCAAAGACCATGTCCTGTCTTTTTTTCACCCTACACTTTTTGTTTTTTTGTGAATGAGTATCGGGACCATGTACCTCATACTCATTCACATTGGGGAGGCGGTATCTGGGGGCCCCCTTATTAAAGGGGGCTTCCAGATTCTGATAAGTCCCCCTTCCTGCAGACCCCCAAAACCACCAGCCAGGGTTGTGGGGAAGAGGCCCTTGTCCCCATCAACATGGGGACAAGGTGCTTTGGAGGAGGGGGTGAGCCCCCCCCATGTTGAGGGCATGTGGCCTGGTATGGTTCGAGAGGGGGGGGGGCGCTAGCTCATCCCCCCCCCCTTTCCTGACCTTCCAGGCTACATGCTCGGATAAGGGTCTGGTATGGATTTTGGGGGGACCCCCACACCATTTTTTTTAATTTTGGTGTGGGGGTTCCCCTTAAAATCCCTACCAGACCCGAAGGGCTTGGTATGGATGGGAGGAGGAACCCCACGTCGTTTTTTAAATTTTTTTTTAATTGCTGGCAATGCTTTTACATTCAGCTGTCAGTGGGGAACCGCGCTGACAGCTGAAACATTAACACATGGTTGTCACTACTAAAATACCGCATGACTTAATAAAATAACTAATGCAGTATTTTAGTAGCGTTTACTTTTTTTTTTTACCTCCGGAACAGATTAATGGGTTTTCAATGCATTCCTATGGGAAAAGGTGTTTCGGTTTACAAATTTTTCACTATACAGAAAGTCCTGCAGTACGAATTAAATTCGTAAACAGAGGTATTACTGTACAACCCCAATTCCAAAAAAAAGTTGGGATGTTGTGTAGAATCTACATAAAAACAGAATGCAATGATTTGCAAATCTCAAAAACCCATATTATAGTCACAATAGAAAACAAATCAAATGTTTAAATTAAATAGTACCATTTTAAGGAAAAAAAATAATAATTTTGAAATTGATGGCAGCAACACTTATCAAAAAAGTTAGGACAAGGCCATGTTTACCATTGTGTAGTACCTCTTCTTTTAACAACACTCTGTGAATGTCTGTGAACCAAGGATATCAGTTGCTGGAGCGTTGAGAGAGAAATGTTGTCCCATTCCTGCCTGATACAGGATTCTAAATGCTGAACAGACCTGGTCATCTTTGTTGTATTTTTTGTTTCAAGGTGTGCCAAATATTTTCAGTTAATGAAAGGTCTGGACTGCAGGCAGGCCAGTAAACACACAGACTCTTCTATTATGAAGCTATGCTGTTGTCATAGATGTAGTTTGTGGTTTAGCATTGTGCCCTTTGAAACAAGCAAAGCCTTCCCTGAAAAAGGCGTCTGGATGGGAGCATATGCTGCTTTAAATCCTGGATATATCTTTCAGCATTGATGGTGCCTTTCCAGATGTGCAAGCTGCCCGTTCCACATGCACTAATGCACCCCCATACCATTAGAGATGCAGGACTTTGAAATGAGCGCTGATAAGCCGGAAGGTCCCTGTCCTGTTTAGTCTGGAGGATGCGATGCCCATGGTGCCAAAAATTTATTTGTCTCACCACAGAACAGTTTTCCACTTTGCAACAGCTCATTTTAAATGCTTTAGCCCAGAGAAGATGGGCATTTCTGGATTATGTTCAGTTATAGCTTCTTCTTTGCATTATGGAGCTTTAGCTTGTTTTTTTTGGATGGCACTGTAGATGATGATATATTTAAAGTCTTTGCAATTTTACATTGAAGAACATTATTCTGAAATTGTTCCACAATTTTTAGAATCAGCTTTTCACAGATTGGTGAATCTCAGCCCATCTTTACTTCTGAGAAACTCTGACTCTCTAAGATGCACTTTTTATGTCAAGTCATGTTACTGACCTGTTGTCAATCAACCTAATTAGTTGCAAACTGTTCTTCCAGCTCCTCCTTGTTAGTTCCACTTACTTTGACCACTTTTTTGTTTTTGCCCTCCCAACTTTATTGAGATGTGTTTCTGCCATCAATTTCAAAATTACCTTATTTTTTTCCTAAAATGGTAAAGTTTCTGAGTTTAAACATATGTTTTCTTTTTTTTTCTATTGTGAATAAAATATTGGTTTGTGAGACTTGCAAATCGTTGCATTCTGTTTTTATGTAGATTTTACACAGAGTCCCAACTTTTTTGGAATTGGAGTTGTATATTTAGTATTATGTCCAACTTTGCTAAGCATTTCTTTACATTTTTTAGGACTTTGAAAAACACGAAAGTGTGGATTTCACCCCTCAAAAAAAGTCCTTCATGAAATTAAAAGACTGCATTGAGCTTTTTACAACTAAGGAAAAACTAGGTGCAGAAGATCCATGGTATGTTTTAGAATTTTTCTATAAACATCATAATTTTGAAAATTGTCAGAATGATGTTAAGCAAACTGAAAGTCTGTGGTGTCTGATATGGGATTTCTAAAAGCATAAATGTTAAAAGGCATTTCCAGTTTAATTGTATGTTTGATGTGTTATAAATTAAAACAAATTGGTGCATTATGTGAAGTAAAACATTTTCTTTAAAAGTGAGCATGTCAGCAACTGTACATGTCCATTTTGTATCACAATGTACAGCAGCAGTTTATTAAAACAAAAAAAAGTAGCTTTTATTATTAGAGGTGTTCTGTAAGCTGGAAGCACTGCTTCAGGCTTCTCTCCTCTATTGATCAGACTGTATGTTGCCGATTTGTAGAGAGACTGCGGCTGGAAGCTGATCTGTGTAAGACATCTGTAAAACAGCTAAGAACTGCACAGGCACCAGAATTTTGTCATCTCAGAATCTTATTCCAAGTAGTAGTTTTTGACCCTGGGTGGTGCCTGATCTAATCTACTAGGTTCACTTTATATATGTTCTTGGCTTCCTGCATAAGAAAAAATACATTAAAAAACCCATGCATGCACTATTTCTTTCCTGACTGTGTATAACTGTATTACAGTCGGGTAAGGTGATTCTAGCAGGCAACAGATCTGCTAGGATGCAGGGAAGTGAAAGAAGCACACCTCACTTTCCATCCCCATCACTGTGCATCCCTTTGCACCAACTTTAGCTCCTTATCACAGTATATCCCTCCACACCGACCTCATCTCACTAACGCAGCAATCCCTCTGCAGCCACTTCGCCCCCTTGGCAGCACGTTCCACCGCAAACATCTCACTGCCCCATCGCAGTGAATCTCACTACAGCCACCTCCCCTCCTTATCAGAGCACATCCCTCTCAAGCACTGCGTTCATATGTAATTGTGATTGCACACGTGAAGTATCGGAGGGAAAGCAATCATTTTAACTCTAGACCTTCTGAGCAACTCTAATGTGGTAACCTGTAAAGAGTTTTAAAGTGTTGCATATAGATAATTTAATGTATTGTAGTTGCCACTCCACAAGCTTGTGCAATTTTAAAGCGTGACATGTTTAATATCTATTTACTCCGCATAATATAATCTTCTATATTTTGCTGAAAAAAATGGATATTGTATTTATGTTCACTAAAATTTAGGGCTGAAACAACAAATCAACATAATCGATTCTGAAAATAGCTGTCAACTATTTTCATAATCGATTAGTTGGTCAGACGATTAGTTGGCCTGCATACAGAATGCTTTATTTGTTTACATATCAGAAAATACAGTGCAGCACACATACAGCTCAGTACAGCATTCATACATGTAAATATACATAGTGCAGCACACATACAGTTTAGTACACTGTTCATACATGTCTGCAAGTGCCCAAGAGCTTGTGAATGTGTGAAGAGCAATCCCTCCTGGGACATGTAGTCCTGGGCAGGAGAAGAAAGTGATTTTAAAGGCAGAGTGTTTTTTTTGCCTTGCTATAGGGGCACTCTATACTATACTTTGCAGCTTGCTATAGGGGCACTCTGAAGGCAGGAGTCTGAGACATCTGTTGGGGACCCCAGAAGCGGAGAAATCAGGGCTGCTCTGTGCAAAACCATTACAGAGCAGGTAAGTATGACGTGTGTTGTTTAAAAAAACAATGTTTACAATCACTTTAAGGGCTGTCTGCAGGTAAGATCAGCATCTGATAGACTGGAGGTAATATAAGGCATTGCAATTACATTTAAAGTAAAAGTTTACCAGTATTGTGCATTATATTGAAAATGTTTTGCCAATGCAAAAAAGTCTCAGCATATACAGTGAGGAACAGAAGTATTTGAACACCCTGCCATTTTGCAAGTTCTCCCACTTAGAAATCATGGAGGGGTCTTAAATTCACATTGTAGGTGCATTCCCACTCTGAGAGACAGAATTAAAAAAGAAAATTCAGGAAATCTCTGACAGAATTAAAAAAGAAAATTCAGGAAATCACATTGTATGATTTTTAAAGAATTTATTTGTCTTGCAATGCTGAACATAAGTATTTGAACACCTAAGAAACAGCAAGAATTCTGGCTCTCAAAGACCTGTTACTGTGCCTTTAAAAAGTCCACCTCTACTGCACTCATTAATCTAACTTAGTAGCACTTGTCTGAGCTCTTTAAAGACACCTGTCCACCCCACAGTCAGTCAGACGCCAACTACTACCATGGGCAAGAACAAAAGACACCAGAGACAAAATTGTGGCCCTGCACAAGGCTGGAAAGGGCTACGGGCAATTGCCAAGTAGCTTGATGAAAATAGATCAACTGTTGGAGCAATTGTTAGAAAATGGAAGAGGCTAAAGATGACTGTCAGTCTCCCTCGGACTGGGGCTCCATGCAAGATCTCACCTCATGGGGTATCACTGATGATAAGAAAGGTGAGGAATCAGCCCAGAACTACAAGGGAGGAGCTGGCCAATGACATGAAGAGAGCTGGGGCCACAGTTTTAAAGGTCACTACGCCGTCATGGTTTCAAATCATGCACTGCTCAACTCATCACATGTCCAGGCCCGTCTGAAGTTTGCCAATGACCATCTGGATTATCCAGAGGAGGCATGGGAGAAAGTCATGTGGTCAGACGAGACCAAAGTAGAACTTTTTGGTCTAAACTTCACTCGTCGTGTTTGGAGGAAAAAGGATGAGTTGCATCCCAAGAACACCATCCCTACTGTGAAGCATGGGGGTGGTAACATCATGCTTTGGGGGTGCTTTTCTGCAAAGGGGACAGGACGACTGCACTGTATTAAGGAGAGGATGAATGGGGCCATTTATTGTGAGATTTTGAGCAACAACCTCCTTCCCTCAGTCAGAGCATTGAAGATGGGTTGTGGCTAGGTCTTCCAACATGACAACGACCCGAAGCACACTGCCAGAATAAACAAGGAGTGGCTCCGTAAGGAGCATATCAAGGTTCTGGAGTGGCCTAGCCAGTCTCCAGACCTAAATCCAATAGAACATCTTTGGAGGGAGCTGAAACTCCGTGTTGCTCAGTGACAGCCCCAAAATCTGACAGATCTAGAGGAGATCTGTGTGGAGGAGTGGGCCAAAATCCCTGTTGCAGTGTGTGCAAACCTGGTCAAGAACTACAGGAAACATTTGACTTCTGTAATTGCAAACAAAGGCTTCTGTACCCAATATTAACACTGATTTTCTCGGGTGTTCAAATACTTATGTTCAGCAGTGCAAGACAAATAAATTCTTTAAAAATCATACAATGTGATTTCCTGAATTTTTTTTTAAATTCTGTCTCTCAGAGTGGGAATGCACCTACAATGTGAATTTCAGACCCCTCCATGATTTCTAAGTGGGAGAACTTGCAAAATCGCAGGGTGTTCAAATACTTCTGTTCCTCATTGTATGTATGTATATATATATATATATATATATATATAATTACTTTCACTGTGTTATTACTTTCCCTGTATAAATTAACCCCTTATTGTAGTGAATATCTGCTGTTTTTGTACTATAAAGGCCTTTTTTTTTTTTTTTTACCCTATAATGACAGCATGCTGCTACTAATTGTCTTATGCTGGCCATACATGTATCAATTTTTGGATGAGAATATTCGTATGAAAATTCTTTGTACGTTCATTGAATGGATGAATGGCATTTCATGTGCTTTTTTAAATTCAATTTTAAAATGAATGTAATTTCTGAACGAAAATCACATACACTCTTCAAAAATGAATTCAATCAAGAAAAGTTTTCTGTTCTGCTCTTTCAAATTTTCCCATCATTGTTATAAAAAACAAACGTCAATTTGAACCCACTAATGATTAGAAAATTGAACAAACATTCTTACAATGAAAATTTTTGAAGGAAAAATTTGTTTGTGTACAGCTAGGATAAGTGACAGCAGGCAAAGGTAACTTGCAGTAATATTATTATTATACAGGATTTAGCTAGAGAGGAGGAGGTCTTGGGAGGAACGAAGACTACAATTGGGTCAGTATTTAGAGATTAGGTTAGTGATGTAGCTGGGGGCTGAGTTGTGGATGGCTTTCTAAGTAGTTGTTAGTATTTTGAATTTAAATCGTTGGGTGAGCGGAAGCCAGTGGAGGGATTGGCAGAGAGGAGTGGCAGACACTGAACGGTTGGTAAGCTGGATGAGCCTGGCAGCAGCATTTATGATGGACTGAAGGGGGGCTAGCCTATGTAAAGGTAATCCCAGGAGGAGAGAGTTGCAGTAGTAGTCGAGAGCAGGGAGCTTTGTTGGTGTCATTTGTTAGGAAGGGGCATGTTTTAGAGATGTTGCGGAGGCTCAGGCGGCAAGATTTGGACAGTGATTGGACATGGGGCCAAAGGATACATCAAAGTCCAGGATTACTCCTAGAACCTTGGCATGCAGGGATGGGCAGATAGTTGTGTCATTGATCTTGACAGAAAAATCAGGGGAAGAGCCACGTGAGGGAGGAAAAATTATGAGCTCAGTTTAGGATAGATTCAGTTTGAGGAAGTTGTGTGACATCCAGGCTAATAAGTCTGTTAGTAAATTAGTGATACGGGAGGAGACTGAAGGAGTGAAAGGGGTAGAGAGATAAATTTGGGAGTCATCAGCGTAGAGATGGTATTGGAAGTTGTGGGAGCTCACCCAGGGATTCAGTGTAGGTCAAGAATAGGAAAGGTCCAAGAACAGAACCTTGAGGGACCCCGACAGAGAAAAAGAAGAGGAGAGGAGGAAGTAGAATTGTAAGTAACGCAAAAGGTGCGGTTGGATAAGTAAGGTGAGAACCATCAAAGAGTACAATCAAGGAGACCAAGGATGTGGAGTTTTTTGTGGAGGAGGGGGGGTGGTCAGCTGTGTCAAAGGCAGCCGAGGTGTCCAGGAGTAGGAGTACAGAATAGTGTCCATTGGATTAAGCCATTAACAGATTGATTGTGAGTTTTTAGAAGAGCTGTTTCTGTGGAGTGTTGAGGGTGAAAACCAGACTGATGGAGATCAA